CCCCAAAACCCCAAAACCCCGTGCAATTATCATATGCAATTTACAAATAATGCAAAATCAAATTAAATATATAAAATCATTTAATTCTTGGCAATATCCAGTCCAAAATATCACTCTCTATTTTTTATGAAATCCCATCATACCAAAGCATAAAATGATCTTCATTTTCAAGCTCTATTAGCCTTTTATCTTTTATATTAATCTAATCAAATACCTATTTCTACTAATTTACATCTGTAATCTAATCCTACTTGCCCAAAATCATTAATACAGGAGTTTTTATCTAATCAATATTCTTTTAAGCCTCTTCTTAATCTTACTAAATAGCAAGGATATTTTGAGCCTGCCATTTAAAGTAATAAAATGGATCAGTTTAAGTCATATGCTAGAAAAGCTCTCTTAATTCTGGATCATTTTTACCTTTTAAATCAACTACTTTATAAGGATTTATCATTTGAATTGCTTTTATTTTAGCCTACTGTAGTGTACCAATCTAAGGTGAAAATTAGTAAAATGGAGAGATTAATGCTGCTCCTTAGAAAAAATCTGGCATTTATTCTATCAATCTAGTTGCAATTAAAGCACCATGGGAGTGGCCAATGAGGAATTTGGGAAGATTTTTTGGAAATCCTCTTAAGTAAGTGCCTTAATCTATAAACTTCCAGGTATCTTCATAAAGAGCTTCGTGAATGTGGCCTCTTCTTCCTTAACTCAGGCCAAATCCTCTGCGATCCATACCAAGCACTCTGATGCCTCTTGAGGCAAAACTTTTGAAAAATCCTCCGTAATTTTAACAGTAATCACCATAAGCTGGAAGAAAATATAAAAGTGCTTTAGAATTTTATTAGGTCTAATATTCGTATGTAGTTAAACCTACACCTTGATGTTTTTCATCAAGTACTTTATAGTCTAAATAACTTATTGTTGGAAAAACACTTCTCTTCAGAGCTTTATATCTTTCTAGCTTTGTGGCAAAATATCGAGTGGACTTTTGAACGTTCATTAAAATTTATAATTTATTATAACTTATAATCATTATATTTCTATTAGCGGGGTTTTGGGGTTTTGGGGTTTTGGGG